ATATTTCCCTGCTTAATGACAGCGACTTCTAGATCTTCTAGTAAAAACAGAATCATGTGATTCATATTATTTGAAAGCAACCCATTGTATTTATGCAGTCCTCCACTGTTGAACATTTAGGTTGATTTCAACAAATCTTATATTTTTTGTACATTTAAGTTTCATCACTTTTTTGCTATCACTAGTAGCACAAAGCAATCATAACTAGATAAAACTGATTTGAAATAAAAAAAATAAAAGGTTTGGGAAAAACTCCCCAGAGTTCTGAACAATGGTTTAAATTTATTTTTAATTTAAGTTTTTTACTGTTCACAATATTGCGCATGTTCCCCATTTACACCCCTCCCCTTTGCCTACCTCCACCCAGCCCCCACCACCCCTCTGGCCCTCCCCACACTGTTGTTTGTGTCCGTGGGCTATGCATATATGTTCTTTACCTAATCCCTTCACCTTCCTTTATCCAGTCACCCCCACCCCCTCCCTCTGACATTTGTCAGTCTGTTCCATGTATCCATGCCTCTGGTTCTATTTTGTTCATTAGATTCCACATATTAGTGGATCATATGGTATTTGTCTTTCTCTGACTGGCTTATTTTACTAAGCATAATAATCTCCAGGTCCATCCATGCTATCTCAAAGGGTAAGAGCTCCTTGTTTTTTAGAGCTGCATAGTATTCCATGGTGTAAATGTACCACAGCTTTTTTATCCACTCATCTACTGATGGGTACTTGGGCTGTTTCCAGATCTTCGCTATTGTAAATAAAGCTGCTATAAACATAGGAATGCATATAGTCTTTCTGATGGGTGTTTCGGGATTCTTAGGATATATACCCNAGTCTTTCTGATGGGTGTTTCGGGATTCTTAGGATATATACCCAGAAGTGGGATCACTGGGTCAAAATGCAGCTCCATTTTTAATTTTTTGAGGAAACTTCATACTGTTTTCCACAGTGGCTGCACTAATCTGCATTCCCACCAACAGTACACTAGGATTCCCCTTTCTCCATATTCTCGCCAGCACTTGTTTGTTGATATTTGGTGATGGTAGCCATTCTGGCAGGTGTGAAGTGATACCTCATTGTAGTTTTAATTTGCATCTCTCTAATGATTAGTTACATTGAGCATTTTTTCATATGTGTATTGGCCACCTGAATGTCCTTTTTAGAGAAGTGTTTATTTGGTTACTTTGCCCATTTTTTAATTGGATTGTTTGTCCTCCTGGTGTTGAGTTGTATTACTTCTTTATGTTTTTTGGAGATTAACCCCTTATCAGATGAATCACTGGTGAATATGTTCTCCCATATGGTGGGTAAAAATGTTTAAAGAAATAAGTTGTAAAACCACCCCCCAATGCACTAACACTCTGGACAAGCCAGCACTAGTGAGCATGGATATTCATCTTTAAACAAATTGTTATCTTTCAGGTTGTGAGGACTTTTCAAAAGTAAATGACCTGCCCAAGGTGTTGGATTCCCCTCCAAATCAGGCCTTTTGAATAAGAGCAGACAGATGACAACTTCCTGTCTAGTAGAACTGTAAACTAGCAGGAACAGATCTGAGACTATATTATTTTCTCAGCTAGGGATAAGGAATGGGCTTCTCTTTATATTTTATGACCAGGATCATACGAACAAGTAGCAAATTTAATAATTTGAATCTCTTCTAAGCTCACTTAAAAAACATCAGCTATCCTCTGTTCTGTTAGCTCTTTATCTTACACCATAGTACATTGTCTTGATTAGTGTAACTTTATAATTAGCCTCAAAATCAGAAGTGTTGTTCTTCTAGTTCCATTCTTTTTTGAAGTTGTTTTGGCTATACTAGGTCTTTTGCATTTTCATGTGAATTTTGGAATCAGTTTGTTAATTTCTGCAATAAAGCTTGCTGGAATTTTGATTTGGGGAGAATTGCCACCTTAATGATATTGATTTGTCTAATCCATGAACATGGTACATTGCTCTATTTGTTTAGATTTTTAAATTTCTCTCAGCAATGGTTTGTGGGTTTCAGTGTACAGCTGATGTTTTGTTTTGTTTTTTATAAAAAGGTGTAATATCAATTCAACAGAGATAATCTTTTCAACAAATGGTGCTGAAACAATTCAATAGCCATATGCAAAAAAAAAAAGAAAAAGAAAAAAACACCAAACCAAACCAATACAAAACTTTCAATCCATACTTCACATTATATAAAAATGAACTCAAAATGAATCACACACATAAATCTAAAACCTAAAATTATAAAAATTCTACAAGGAAACCTTTATGACCTTGGATTAGGCAAAGATTTCTTAGATATGACACTGAATGCATAATTCATAACAAAAAATTTAGTAAGTTGAACTTCATCAATATTAAAGATTTCTGCTCTCATCAGACATGGTTAAGAGATTGAAAAGACAACCCACAGACTTTGAGAAAATATTTGCAAATCCTATATCTGATAAAGGACATGTATCCAGAATATATAAAGAACTCTCAAAACTCAATAATAATACAACTCAGTTTTAAAAGGGTAAAAGATTTAACCAGACACTTTACCAAAGAAGATATAGAGATGGCAAATGAGCACACGAAAAGATGTTGAACAGAGTAGGAAAATGAAAACTAAAACTATGAGAGACCACTATACACCTCTTAGAATGGCTGCAACTAAAAAGACAGACCAAACACACACATGCACACAAAATTGGTAACTATGTGAGGTGATGGATATGTTAACTAACCTCATTGTGGTAATCATTTCACAATATATATACACTGTGTATCAAATCATGGCACTGTAAACCTTAAACTTACACAATGTTATATGTCAATTATATTTCAATAAAGCTGGGGGGAAAATTTTAAAGAAATTGACCATATCAAGTACTGACAAGGATGTGGAAGAATTGGAACTCTCCCACACTGCTGTTGGGAATGTAAAATAGTACAATTACTTTGGGAAATGGTTTGGCAGTTTCTTTGAAAAATTAAACATTCATGTGTCATGTGATCCAGCCATTCCACTTCTAGTCATTTCCTCTACCAAAGAGAAATAAATGCCTATGTCCACACAACAACCTACATGTGAATGTTCATAGCAGCTATATATGCAATAGCCCAAAACCAAAACAATGCAAATGTCCATTAACAAGTGAGTGGATAAACAAACTGTGTGATGTCTATGCAATGGAATAGTACTCAGCAATAAAAAAGGAACTACTGATACAAGTTACAATTTGGATGGGTTAATTCTTAGAATGGTTTCTGTGAATGCAAGAATCCAGACAGGAAAGAGTATATACTATAGTTGCATTTATATAAAATTCTAGAAGATGCAACAAATTAATAGTGACAGAAAGCAGACAGTGGTTGCCTGGGGGACAGGACCATTTGGGAGGTAAGGAATATGCAGGACATGAAGAAGTTTTTGGTAGCAACGATTATGTTTATTCTCTTGATTGTGGTGGTTAATTCATGAGTGTATACATTTTCCTCTAAATTTAAATTGTTCAATTTAAATGTATGCACTTCATCTGTCAATTATTCCTCAGTAAAGCTGATTAAGAAAAACTAAGAAATATGAGGAGTTATCAGATGGCAGCAATAACTTTATGAGGTTAAAGAGCAATGCTGTATTTGATGAGCTTTAGAAATCTTGATCGCAGTATTGCTCTCTGCACTTTGACAACTCATCTTTGCTGCGTTCTGACAAGACTACATTTCACTTTCACACTGTGCAACAGAGTTGCCCCAGTCCACTGGCTATCTCCTCCAGGGTAACGCAGGACACTGGTTAGCCAGCTGAGAGGACCTGATCAGGTCACCAACATAACTCAAATTCTCAGATGCGGGGGGAAACCCAAACATAGTCTTATGAAAATAAAACTTCATGGAATCCACAGAGCTATGGGGTTCACACCAACTCAGCCAGGATGGATGGCTCTGATCAGGTACTGGCTAGACTGGTCCGACTGACTGGATGTAAATGATTGGGAGTCTTCCCTTAAACAAACACACACACACACACACACACACACACACACACACACGGGGGGGCGGGGGGAGAGAAGTGAGAGATAGGGATTTACTAACTCCCCTGAGGAGTCCATGGATGCCCTTCAGTGGGTCCATGACCCCAAAATCGTACACAAGTTTTGTAAGTATATGCATTCATGCATTTTTCTGCGGAGAGGGTTCATAGCTTTCATCAGACCGTCAAAGAGCTCCCAGACTTAAAAGATTAGGAAGAGCCAATATGAATAAATTCAGACCCATCTATTATTTCTCCTCCCTCCTCTCTGGCTCCCAGGAGGAAAACCTAACAGTCACTCATTCGATCCTTCCCGCTGAGATTACATCTATGGAATCTACACCAAACCACCATCAATTTCATTTCTTCCCCTTTGCCTGGGCGCGCGTAGCCCAGGCTGCCCCACTACCCCGCGCCCTCTCACGGTTTCCAGCTGCTGAAGAATCTGGAGTTGTTTCCAAGTTCCCCACATAGGTAACCCGCCCGACACGTTTCCTCTCCCAGGGGCGCAGCCCCTGCTCGATCCTACCCCTACCC